TCAGGATGTTAAAATAAACAAACAAAAAAACCCTCACCTTTCAAAGATCACCAAACTTCACTGAACAAGAGTCACGACACAGCAGCATCCGTCACGTTTTTGGGTCCCCTTGAAACATTTCCATTGTGTTCCGTTCTATTTGTATTGTGAGAATATACAGCGCGTTTTATTAATTTGTTTGCGTTGTGGGAAATGCAGTGCATTTTATTTAATAATGTGTTTTGCTGTCAAACAGATGAAGATCCTTTCTCAGTATGCTGGCATTTTTTTGTAACTGCACGTGTTTTGTTGAATTGCAGCATGTTAAGCTCTCTCTGCCACCGTGAATTTCAGACAGATTATGGCTGTATACCCCAAACCCTCATTCATAATTTCCTACATTGGTCCACTTCAATGAATGAAAACAAGTGATTGTTTGTGCTTTGGTTGATAAATCTCTCAGATAGATCAGATTTACATCTTCTCGGTCAGACCCTGCACTCTCAGAAATAAAGATACGAGTGCTGTCACTGGAGCAGTTCCTTTGCAAATACCATAATGGTACCTTAAAGGTACTTTTAGGTACATTTGGGTACTAATATGCTCCTTTTACTGTAGGTACCACTGTGGACTATTTGGGTACAAATATGTATCTTTTCAAAAGGTACTGCCCCAGTGACAGCTCGCGTACCTTTATTTCTGAGAGTGTGTGATAGTTATGTAAAACTTATTGAGCTGTATATTAGTAATGAAAAAAAGTATTTTGATTTTTATACAATTTGATGTATTTTGAAATGTGCATTAGGGGTTTTCTCCAGCCATGGAGTGTACATCAGCTGTAAACTCATTATTGCAGTGCATTGTGGGATTGATTGAGTGCATTTCAGAATGTCCACTATTGTTTCAGACAATACTACAAAGAGCTGCTTACTCAAACAGTGTACTATTTAGTAAAGGGGTGATTTCTGATACAGCCTATGAGGGACGCACTGAAGGGGTAATGAACAGAACAGAAACTGGTGTGTGTTAGTTTCATAATGGAAACTAATAACTGGTGGGACAACTACAACAGGAAACTATTTAATACTATAAGGGATAGTTCACTCAAAAATTGTAATTTACTCACCCTTAAATGAATCCAATCCTGTTCGAGTTTCTCTTTTCTCCTGAACACAAAGGAAGATATTTTGAATTAACCATTGACCTAAACAGTAGGAAAAACAACAGATTTTGTGTTGAATTTTGAACTGAATTTTCAGTTTTGGATGAACTATCTCTTTAAATAAAAAGTGTAAAGCAACAAATTAGAACAAAACCTTTAACACTTAATAGCTTTAAGAAGTCACTTCTAACAAACAAATAATAAAGTAAATCAACAGTTTAAAAACGTACATTTTATGATGCAGTGACTATTTATTTTCACTTTTTTCTTCTAACACAAATACAGTAACGCAAAACAAGCACACACCCACACACAGAACAGCATTATTTTAACCTTTTTTTAAATATATTTACACTGCTCAATCACGAAACATGCACATTATGTTGGACTCTCACTTTTATATCCCACAATGCTATGTTTTCCCTTTAACTCTTTCCACGCACTCCCCCTCCATCCTCTTTTTCCTCCCTGTCTGGATTTCCTCTGCAAATTACAACCCCCTCCTCACCCTCGCACACACACACACACACGCACCCTGTGGCTGCCTGTCCTGTCGTCCACCCTCAGTCGGCTCTAATGAGGGAGGGAGAGTGTTATTTTGGTTGCACGCCTGCGCTAAATTCTCTCTTGTTTGACAGCTGATGGAGAGAGAGAGGAGCGTTAACCTTATAAAAGATTTACCTCCGCTCATTACAGCCTGTCAAGTAGCTGTCCTGATAGCACCAGCTTCGACATTTGCATCCTTGACTCTCTTCTTCATTCTACACTCATTTTCTTCATTCCTGTTGTTTGTTTGTTTGTATTGTCACCTTCCCTTACATCTCTTTCATTCCACCCTTCCCGAGGACGTGTGTTCCTCCTATTTAATTCAAAAAGGTTTGGAGGTGTCAAAAGTGTTTGTGGGAGGCAACAGATTGTTTTTTTTTTAGAGGAGGAAAAGGAAAAACAAGGAAATATATTTAAAACATGATGTGACACGACTAAAGTTTCCGAGTGTTGGGAAACATGCTATAAACTAACCTTTGGAAGATAGAAAACGCTGAATTTTGGGACGAATCTGCTGTTTTGAGCCATTGTTTAAATTAAATGTGCTGTGCGAGCTCTATTATTTAATAGCTGTCAGTATACATCTTAAACTACCAGTTAAAATGCTACAGAAAGGGGCAAAGCATGCTGCGTTTTTACAAAGCTCCCTTTTTTTAATGTTCAGCTATTCTGACTGCACTTTCGTGTATCAAAACAGAATGTCTACCGTCTTCCAACAGTGCCATCCATGTTACTTTTCTCTGTCATTCATACCTTTTTTTAGTGTTCAGAGTTGAGTTACAATTGGCCTTCGTCTGTATTTATACAGCGTTTTAGCAGATCATATGAGACTGTGGTCTTTTGTATGCTACCTTTCTACATCCTAGATATCAGAGTAAGATTTATCGGACTCTATGTTTTCGTATTCTGCAGGTGGGAGCGGCTCTGGACACCTTTCGAGATCCTGAAGCCCGGAAAAAAGCCATGAACGCCCACTGCTCTGAGTCTGTTAGCAGGAGAGGGATTCTGGGTCAAGGCACTTACATGGTGGATTAACAGAGCTGTAATTATTACATGTGTATCAGGCCTCTTCCTCGACTGTTCATCTTTTAATGTCACAATAAATGATGTTAACCGCTTTTAATTTGTTCCGATTTAGAGTTTACAACAAATCGGAAAGGATGATTCAATCATTGAAAGCATGAATGGTATCAATTTAATAACAGCTTATTATATAGTTAATAAATTGTTATTAATTTGAGCAATCATATGAATCATCTCCTTTTGAGATTTATTGTTCTATTTTATTCAGTTTTATTGATGTTAAAAATAAAACTGGGATAAGTGACTGCATGATTATATTGATTATAGCATATATATAAGTACACCCCTCACAAATCTCTCTTTTACATTCATATTTTTAATAGGAGGCTATACAATATTATATTTGTGCATATACATTAGATTAGTCAGTACTGAAGCCAAATCTGGAGCTTTACTAACAAAATAACTTATGAAAATGGTCCAAAAACTAGTACACTCAAATATATATGTTATAGAAAACGAGAAAAAATCAAGAGAAGCAAAAAAAAAAAAAAAAAAAAAAAAAAAAATTGTAGGTTGTTTTTTTTTTTTTTTGCAATATTTAACTCAAATTTAATTGTATTATCTTTAAATTTCTAAATATGTTTGGTGACTAAACTATGATTTTAATAAATGTATCCGTTTAATAAATCTGTTTTGTTAAAATGCGCTAAAATACATTACCTATATTCACTGAGAAATGCAGAAAAATATTCATTTTCAAAATGGGGTGTACTCTATTATCCTGAGCACTGTCTTAATATTAACTTTGTGAAATGCATTTTACTGTACATTAAATATTTCTGTCACAATTTCTTCAACTAAAACCAAGCTTGTAGATTTTTTCAGGTTGATAAAACTCTGTGATTTTGCTTTCATATATATTTTTTTCTTTATGTAAAGCATCAGCATGTTCATGACATGACCCAGAACAGCTCTGGAGATGAGATTTATTGTCTTCTCATACAGTAAGATTAAAAAGCACCACCACCAACAACAAATCTTCATTCATTCACATAGAAAACATACTTAATCTTTCAATAATCTTTTGCAGTTCAATCATCATAGGCATTAGGTGATATTAATTATTATTCATTATTCTAATCTTTTTTTATTTATTCATTTAGATTGACAAATCACATATCTAATTTCGTTTTTAGGACTAAAGTTATCATAGGGCCCTGCAATTATTTTTTTTATTCATTTACTTATTTTCAGCTTAGTTCCTTTTATTAATCAGGGGTCGCCACAGTGGAATGAACTGCCAACCTTTCCAGCATGTTTTACGCAGCAGATGCCCTTCCAGATAAATATATACAGTTGAAGTCAGAATTATTATCCCCCCCATTTATTTTTTCTCCAATTTCTGTTTAACGGAGAGCAGATTTTTTTTAAAACACATTTCTAAACATAATAGTTTTAATAACTCATTTCTAATAACTGATTTATTTTATTTTTGCCATGATGACAGCAAATAATATTTGACTAGAAATTTTTAGGTTAATTAGGTTAATAGGCAGGTTAGGGTAATTGGGCACGTTATTGTATAACAATGGTTTGTTCTGTAGACTATTGAAAACAAAAATTAGCTTAAAGGGGCTAATAATTTTGACCCTAAAATGTTTTTTAAATATTTAGAAACTGCTTTTATTCTAGCTGAAAGAAAACAAATAAGACTTTCTCCAGAAGAAAAAAAAATATTATTAGACATACTGCGAAAATTTTCTTGCTCTGTTAAACATCATTTGGGAAAAATTCAAGGGGGGGCTAATAATTCTGACTTCAAATATATATAGAATGAATGCCTGGTAAACAGTGTAACATTTTATTGACATTATCCTCTTAATTACAGTGTTAAAAATTTGCTCTGGATGAGGGTCTCTGGTCTATACAAGTAAAAAGGGTATAGCTTAAATGCCATTAGGCTGAAAGAAAGAAAGAAAGAAAAAAAAAAAGAAAGAAAGAAAGAAAGAAAGAAAGAAAGAAAGAAAGAAAGAAAGTGAAATGAAGTGTAAAGGTAAAATACAACAGCTACTGTATCCGCATGTCAAGCGTTACGTGTCTGCAATTTATTTAGGAGAAAAGAGGGAGGGTTGACTATGTTTCTCCCCCTCCCGCCCGCAACATATACGTGATCATCACCCCCCAAAAACACCCTTTAACCAATAACGACGTGGCGCTCGGGACAAACGCAGAATGGACACCTTTAAAAGCGCGTTCCTCCTCCGGTATTGGCTGTTTCCTTGAGGGTGTCATTTTCAGGTCGCGGAGATCACTGCCTGTGTTTATACTCCGTTACACGGGTTTAGTCCTCGCAGACCTGGACTAGAACTTTACACATCAGCATCGGCTTAGGTCAGAGGATTTGGGGCTTGGTACGGGTTGCAGTCGAGTCTCTAGAAAGCCAGATAAGTTTTCAAGTTAACGACTAGTTCTCCGCTGAGAGCTGACCGTGAGGGTGAGCAGATAGATGTACCTGTCCTTGGTGCTGAAACTGACCCGCGCGTTCACGTTTCGCTTTTGAGGAACTCTACGAGCACATTCAACAAAGCAGCTAGATCAATCAGAAATAAAGGACTCGTGACTTGTTTTCTGGGAAAGGATTAAACTGTTTTATTTTTTTTTTTATCGAAAATGATCAGAAGTTTAACGTTTTAATTCGGCAGTTTCTTCTAGCTGCATTCCCAAAACCAGTGTCATAAAGGACAAATGCACATTTGATATTGATTTGACTCGCGATGGAGGTATCAAACGGCTCGAGCTTTGGGATCGAGTCTATACTTTCTCACAGAGCCAGCAGCCCGTGCATGTCTAAGGGGGAGTGCAGGTCTCCGGCGGAGCTGAGCCCGCGCTCGGACCTGGACAGCGGCTGCTCGTCGCCTCCTTCCCCGAGACGGAGCTCAGTGGAGGACGCTGTGCACAGACGCGCTCGAGCCCTCGGACTGGACTCTCCTTTACAAATATCCCAGCAGCCGAGAACAGTCACGTCCTCATTCCTGATCAGAGACATTCTGGCGGACTGCAAACCTCTGGCAGCCTGCGCTCCTTATTCTAGCACTGGACAGTCAGCACAGGATGCTGAAGACTGCATGGACAAACTTCACAGCAATTCTTCCTCGGACAGCGAATACAGGGGTGAGATAAACTACAATATTACACTGGAAAGAAACAACAAAACTAAAAAACGATTTCGATATATAAACTAAAATTAAATAATTCGTTTTTTTTTTTACATATTTTTTATTTTATTTTCGCATTATTCAATGTTTGAATTATTCAACGATTCACTTAAAACATTATGAACGAAAACCGATGTAACCTATAGCTGGACATGCCCTTAAGCATTTTTTACATTCCTAAGAAATTAGTTAAAACTTAGTCGAAGTACATAAAGGCCTAAATGCAAATTATTTTGACTGCTAATATTTTGATGCAAAAAAGATCTCGGCATTAAAACGGGTTTTCCAAATGATTTACAAAACCAGTGCGGAAAAGTGGCAGCATTTCTGACATGCCTAAAGTAAAGGAATTAAAAGAAAAATTTTAGTATTATACCTGTTTTCGTTTCTCTTCGTAACGCAGTTAATATATCCCAGATTATTTGCATTTTAACATAAGGTATTTGAATTAAAAATATCTCCGTTTGGAGGTAATTTTAGTCTAAATTTGTAGTGGATCCAAAACCAAATAAAATTTCCTGAAGCATGTATAATTAATTGAGTGGGTCGGTGTCCTCGCAACTGATTGGCAATAAAGGTGTTTCATTAAATATTTTAACTCTGAATCCGTTAATCCAATGTGCAATCAAATGTGCAGCACTCTTGCAGCTCAACTTTGTTTGATTTTTAACACAACACACTAACGAAAACTTAGAAAAATAATTATTTATTGCTGCTGAAAGCATCAAACATAATGGATCACGAAATCGCCAAACTGAATACTGTTAAACCATTAATACCAACATGAAGAACCTTATATGGCCAAAGGAAGCTTTCAATTGCTTGAATTGCTTTTTCAATTGAAAAAAAAAAGATTCTTGAGCAGAAAATGGCCGTTTACGAAAAAGAAAAAAAAAACATTATTTACACCATATAAAATCATAGTTTAACAACTGTTCTCAGTAAGAACATTTGAGGAACCCAAACCCCACACAGGGATCTTTCTTTTTAAAATATGTGATCTAAAATAAACAGGGAATCACATCTGTCCGAAATAAATATACACATATAAATCAATAGCCAATGTTTATATTGTTTATGTGCATGGTGTTTTCAGTGAAAGACGAAGCTGATCGGGAAATCTCCAGCAGTAGAGACAGCCCAAACTCCCGGCTGAAGAAGCCCCGTAAAGCCCGCACCGCGTTCACGGATCACCAGCTGGCGCAGCTCGAGCGCAGCTTCGAGCGTCAGAAGTACCTGAGTGTGCAGGACAGGATGGAGCTGGCAGCATCCCTCAACCTCACTGACACACAGGTCAAAACATGGTACCAGAACCGCAGGTGAATACACACATCTTCATATGGGCTACACACAAAGAAACTAAAGTACTGAAGGAGCTGACTAGCAGTGTGCTGAACCATTTTAAAACGCGTGTTAAATAGTTAGCTTCCACACAAGCAAGAATCATTTCCAATATAAAATTATGCAAATAAATAGCTTGAAGCAGTTTGTTTGTTGTTTCTGTTCCCGTCAAAAATTAAACCACAACGGGGAAAAAGTTACAGTAGCTACAACCTCACACTCCATGAGTCCAACACATTTAGTCATAAATAATAAATTACTGCATCGTTTATCAATAATTTAGCTTCCAAGTAGTAATTAAACAATTGCCACAATTATGAATTATTTATCCGAAAAGGCTTTTTGCTGAGTGACAATTTGACGGATGAGTGTTCAGCAGGATATTACACGGATTCATCCTCAAAACAAACTTTCCACGACGCGCCAATTTGCTCAGGGAAAAAAAAAAACACTTTAAAGTCACAACGAAAATCAGCCAATGTTTTTTTTTTTTTTTATTATCAATTGTAGCCAACATTTAACATCACGAGTGTTTCTTTCGGTTACTTAAGTTGATTTAAACAATCTTTTGGACCAAAAAAAAAGAGCTTAATGTGAAAAAAACATTGGAACATACATAAAGGGGGTCGTCTTTGTTTATTAGCGCTGTCACATGACAACAAAATGGCTTCCTGTATGTCAGTTGCGCCACACTTTGATCTGAACAAGTTTTGCAAACACTACATATTTATAACTAACAATAATTATTATTTTTATTGTTATTATAACGGCCATGAGTAGAACATTTCCCCAACGGGTTTCAGCCATTTAATAAGACTATTTCGATTTTAAAAAATGAGTAAATGAGTGACGCTATGTTGTTTGTTTGAAACAGAACTAAGTGGAAACGGCAGACCGCGGTGGGACTGGAGCTGCTCGCGGAAGCTGGGAATTACTCCGCTCTACAGAGAATGTTCCCTTCACCCTATTTTTATCCCCAAAGTTTGGTGTCTAACCTTGATCCGGGACCAGGCTTGTATCTCTACAGAGGGCCGTCCGCGCCTCCACCCCCTGTTCAGCGACCTCTGGTCCCCAGAATCCTCCTGCACGGGCTTCAGGGCGGCGGAGATCCAGCGTCTCTGTCCGGGGTGATCCCGCGACACCCGCCGCGATGAGCTGATCTGACCCGACCCGACAGCCGCTCCAACCTCAGGAATCACAGGGTTGCGCTTGGACGATACCCTTGTAAAATCTAAACGCGCAATAATAGACTTTCCAAATGACTCTGACCAAAAGGCGAATGCTATAACTATTTATTAAAAATCAACGTGTGGAGGAAGTGATCAGAAAACAGTCGGATAAGGGTTCCATCACCTCATGAACCTTGTGACTTGTTTTCTGAGACGTTGCTTTTCCCCTAAGATTGAATGGCGTGGTTTATTTGCACAATATTATGACGCAAGCAAACCAAAATAAAACATCAACAGAAGACAATGTCAGATATGCAATAATGAAACTATTGTAGTTTTTTTTTTCTACCAAACGAAAAATTCATTTACTAACTAAAAGGTAAATAAATATATCAACAACAACAGGCTACAGATAATAACCATAATTGTAGCAAATGTAGGCTAATTTGTGACCAATTTATTGTGATGAAGACCGTACAGCTGAAAACCTGTTTTACGCAAATCCAGGAGTTTTCCTATAATGAAATAACACGTTGCAGCGAAAACATAATCACTGCAACCTGTTCAACGATTTAAAGCGTATTGTGGAAATATTGTGTTGTGGTTATTATGGGTTGTTTACAGCCCGGTTTAACAGACGCCAAAATACTTTTTTAAATAAAGACTATCGTGACATCCAAATAATTTATTCTTCAATATCATTTTGGTAATTTTTTTGTATACTACATGTAAAATATGATGCATAAACGGTCTATAAAATGAGAAAAAATGCTTATACAAACGAATAAAAACATTATTAAACTCAACAGCCCATGAACGTAGCTACGCAAAAAAAAAAAAAAAAAAAAAAAAAAAAAAAAACCGAAAACTGTCTTTGCGGTGTTTTTAATTTTATTTCTAATTGATCCTGGCTTTCTGTTAAATTAGCACTAATATTTAACGTTTTAATTAACACAAGCACACGAATGACTGCCAATGGGAAGCTTTAGTGAGCTCTGTTCACAGAGTCAGTTCACTCCACCTCATGAGCGTATCTGTGTAAGTGGTTTGTTGTGTGGGTTTAATTGACCAATCCTAATAAGCGTTTCATTATCACAGACCAATCAAATTTCACAAGCAGCTTTTAAGTTAATAAAGAGACTGAAACGTAATATTCCGGTCAAATTTCTCCAAGCGCTCGCAGCGAAGACTCGGCCAAAAAGACAGCAGCTGGTGACCGGGCGAGTCCGACTGAACGCTGGGACAGCTGGTCAGCGTAAGCCTCCATACACATCCAGCCCCATTCACCTGACCAAACCGACATTCAAGCCAAAGAAACGAGCTAAACGCTTTCAGCAAACAGTTTAACAGAGTTCTCAGAAGCTCCTGTATGAAAGCCATGTGATGTTTGGTCGCTGCTGATTGTGAAACACGTTTGGATGCAGTGCTTTGTCAGATTTAATTAGACAGATATTAAATACAATCATCCTAAAAAAGTCAAATTCGGCAATTTTTTAATAAAATATTGCTTAAATAAGGCAGAATATTTATAAAAATAAATTCATAAACCCACTGCAAGAAATCCATGCATGCTCATTTTCCCATCTGCAACTAAGCTTTTGCATTGAGCAAATTCCCAGATTGTTCTGCTGACCGGTTGTGCTTTTTCACATCTAAAAAAATGTTACTCTGTGGAAAAACACCTGTGTGTTCAACCCTGAGAATCCACCTGGTCACGACAACTCTAACCTCAGCACTTCCCAAACGAAAAGAGCATCTCTGATCTCTCCTGTATCGGCCACTTTATGCATCGGTAGATTCCTCTGCTTGACCCTTCTTATTTTTCCTTTTCTTCTTAGCCTTAGATTGTCCATCCATGCCACTGTCATACTCTGAACGCATGAGGTTTGACACCCGCTGCTTTGCTGTGAGTTTCTTGGGAGGGCTGAAAAACATTTAAACAAACAGATCACACTTTACAACAAAGTCCCATTAACTCACGTATTTAGTAACATGAACAATACTTGTACAGCATTTATTAATCATAGTTCAACATTTACTAATGCATTATTAAAATCTCAACTTGTGCTTGTTAACATTACTGCTCTGTGAGTTAACAAGAACAACTTTATTTTCATTGACTAACATTACCAAAGGTGAATAAATACAAGATCTGCTCATGCTAGTAAATTCATTAACTAACAGAACCTTTTTGTATTAAACTCATTTTCTGTATATATCTGAAATTAAATGGCTCTCAGCATCATGAAGTGCAGATCTGAAATCTTAAACCTGCAAAAAGCAGACGCAGACAGTGTGTGGCCGGCTTGAGACTGGCTGAACAAATTTCCCACCGTCGTCAATAAAAGACTCGTAGACAGCAGCGGGGGCCTGATGTAAAACTAGTGACTGTTTATCTAATCAATAACTCTGGAGAATGAAGCGGCGCTGTGGCCCCGTGGGGCTGCTTAAGGATCCAATACACACACACACACACACACACACACACGGTGACACACGACACACTGTACCCTCGGGGCTTCGAGAGGCTATGAGATAGCAGTTATTGTTCTTTTGGTCCCTGAGCACTCTACAGGGACCCCTACAGCCCATATGAAGCATGTATGCACACTTACATGATGGTGTGGAGATTCCATATACCATATCACTGTATTTACACAGTTTTTTGAAATTGACAGAAATGTGTTAAATGATGTAGGTCTCAGTAGCACACTGTAAAATTGCTGGGTTCCACACAATTCCTTTATGTTGTCCCAACATAAATCGATTATGTTAACTTCATTATCTTCACAAATTTAAGTGGATTGACGAAAATCTATTAAGTTTTCCCCTCCCCAACAAACTCAAGACGGGTTGATTCAGCTCATTTTAAATAAGTCGTTTGAACAAAAAAACAAAAAAAAATATTTAGTGCAGTAACTGAAACAAATGGTTCATAGGATTTACTACAATTAAGATAAGTGGTTGCAAACAGTTTATTTGGGCTGAAATTAAACAAACAAATTAGATTTAGTGTCGTATAACTTTAATTGTTTGTTTTAAATTCATCCCAAATCAATTGTTTGCAATCACTTACCTTCAAAATGTAGTAAATCCAATGAACCATTTTTTTAGTGTAGGTTGGAGTTAAAAATCAAAGATCGTATATATATATATATATATATATATATATATATATATATATATATATATATATATATATATATATATATCTTTTATATATATAATAGATGTTTAAAATGAAAATAAAACAAAAGGTTTTTAGTAATTATAATACAAAAACAACTAGGCTTACAGAGTGAAAATGAAAAAAGTTTTCATATTAGGCATAGGCCGGTATAAGATTCTGACGGTATGATAACCTTGGATAAAAATATCACGGTTTTACAGTTTCACGGTATTGTGAATACTGCTCTAAAACAAGTTCTTTAAAAATGTCTGGGTAATTTTTTCCCCCCTATCGAACACAATATATTTTGTTAAGAAACATTTAAAATATTTTAGCTTTTTTATTTTAAACATGTCAGGTTAAACAATTTAAATAAATCACTGACTATCTTCATTGGTTTTAAAAACAGATTTCATAAAAACTTGAAAAGGGATCTTTGGATATCTTTCTTTTTTGTGGATATAAAGTAAAGCCAAGCGTTAAACGAGATCACAAGCCGTTTACTCGCACGCACCCATCAGGATCAGCAGGCGAGCACAGAAATTCCACTATAAAATAAATGTTTATATTTTAAAAACAGGGCAGGGAAAAATGTAATTTAATGCATTGCATCTTGTAAATTTGCCTTTGATTTGGAGGGTCCTTTTGCTGTAGATACTGCTGTCCTAAAAAAAAAAAACCTCAATAAAACAGTCATGAAAAACAAATTAAATAAAAAATACATATACCTGAGGAACGCTATAACAGAAATCGTTTGCGCTTTTAAAACCTTGACTTTTCCAAACCGCGGTAAACCCTGAAACCGCTTATCATCCCATACCTATTTCAAATATATCTGTAATAAATGCAATTGTAATTTAATAAATAGATTTAATTTTGTTTGTAACTAGTAATTTAATAACAGTTTATATAGTAATAAAACTTGTCAGACAAAGATTCCCATAATACATAATTTAAGATCTTTATTTTTCACTTTTCAAACTACTACTTGTACCTCATTAGATATTATAAAAAAAAATCGGACAGAATAAATATATCTTTCATTTTTTGCAATCTATTGGGTTAAAAGGCCATGGGACATCATTAACCTATTTTTTGGAAAATTTTCACAAAAGTTATTTGAAACATTATATTAGATGCTATTTATATTTAATATGTAAAATCACATTTGTTAATTCAATTTCATGTATGCATCAAAATGAGGTCTCATTATAATACACATCGTTTAAAATGGGGTTAGAGAAACTTTAAAAAAGGTTGTGTAGATAAATTAAATATCCACAAATGGCAGTAAATTAGTCAAAAATGTAAAACAATCCAGACAAAATGCTAATTTTCACACATAAATATCAATCAGTACACTTATTTTCAACATTAATAGCAAGTAAAAATGTTTCTTGAACACCAAATCAGCATATTAGAATGTCACCCTGAAGACTAAAGCAATGACTGCTAAAACAAAAATCATCAAATGCATAATATAAATCAAAACAAAGATATTTTAAACAATACCAATATCTCTGAAATATCTCAAAAATCCTTACAGCCAGAAGGAACAATAACCTATATGAGCGAACAAAATATATTCATCCATTCATTTATTTTCTTTTCGGCTTAGTCCCTTAATTAATCCAGGGTCGCGGCAGCGGAATAACTGCCAACTTATCCAGCATGTTTTTACACAGCGGATGCCCTTCCAGCCATAACCCATTTCTGGGAAACATCCACACACACTTATTCACACTACGGACAATTTAGCTAATCCAATTCACCTGTACCACATGTCTTTGGACTGTGGGGGAAACCGGAGCACCTGGAGGAAACCCACGCGAACGCAGGAAGAACATGCAAACTCCACACAGAAATGCCAACTGGCCCAGCCGAGGCTCGAACAAAATATATTACTGACAAAAATAATTAATATCCATAAATACAACACCCTGCAAAGGTAAAGCAGAATGCACTTCTCCATGGAATTGAAGTGTGTATATTTGGTGGCCTGTAATGGCCTCTTCTCCTGTGCACCAGAGCTCTTTGTTGTTTAGTCGTGTGTGTGTGTGTGTGTGTGTTCATATTGGTGTGATCTACTCATTAGAGAAATCTTGTCTGGACATGGACGGTGTTCACCACAGCCGGCTGTAATGAAGTCTCTCCTGACAGGACGGCTAGACTCGACCGGGAGTGTGGAACACAACACAGCAATGCCACTCAAACACAATTACACACAATATAGTAAAGGTTAACACTGACCAGTTAAGCACCATCAACATGAATATTCTATATGTCCAGAGCGATGGCTGGTGAATATAGATGTCAGCTGTCAGATATGACGTCTGATAAGTTCATTACGGCTGTTGGCTGTTGTCTGGGCAGTTTGGGAGCATTATGGCCGCTCTGGGGCAGCTCCTCTGGGACTGAACTATTGTGCCGCTCCATGGGTTTCATTCACAGGTCCTGCTGCAGGTCACTATGCCAATTACTAGTGGTTAGACACATGCTTCACTTGCTAGTG